TCTCTCTCTCTCTCTCTCTCTCTTCGAACAGAGGAAATTATGATAACAACCAGTCTTGAAAAAAAAAAGAGATTATGAAAAACAAAAATAGATTGTGCCAGCCAAGCAAATACAGCACGGTCAGCACGTCATTCCGACTCGTATTCAATGCGTCGCTTTGGTTCCTCTACAATGCAGGAATAACGAATGTAACTTGTTCTTATTATTTTTCAATGATTACAGCAATCTGAGAACGAATGTATACTCGTTGGCCTACATCCAAGGAGTTTAGAACGAATCTCAATGACTTCGGAATAAAACCTTCTTTCTTATCTAGATTTCAGTGCGTGAGTCGAGCATTCGCGCAGCGCAGGTAGCCCACAGTTCCGCCGCGAGAGAGGACTCCTATCAGGCGTGCGGTGCCGCCCACAGAGCATCCTCCATTACTTTTAATCTCCTTGCCTACATCCACAGAATTCTACACTTAGTGTAGAATTCTGTGCCTACATCTAATCTCTGGGTGTGATATTGTTATTGAAATGCTTTCCTTTTGCTGTTTTGATAGGTTGGACTTTTCTGCTTTTAACATCATTCTCCCCAGCTTTCTTTTCGTTATCTCCTATTTTGGTTTGTTTATGGATTTGAGGTTACATGTAAGGTATTTGATGGCAGGAGTATGAGGTGTGGAAATTAGAATTTAGTCGTTTGGTTTCTGAAGGTTTAGAGCGTTTTGGCTAGATTTAAGTAAAAACTACTGGCAAAAACTTTGCCCAATGCCAAGTAGGTGTTGTCAACTTGTCAGTCAGGTTGTTTACTTCCGGTTTCGATTCTCTCTCATTCCTCCCGTCCCATGTGTGTGTGGTGAAGCTGTGGCATCGTAGCTTGTATTGCACCACTAATAACAACTACCGGCGATTTGGAAGTTTCAAAGAGGTGAGTTTTTAGGATGGACTGTGGAAGAAGGTCTTTACTTCCTAACAGTAGATCTGAATCAGACCTGGTGTTGTTCAAGGACTTACACACTAACACACTAATTTCCAGATCTACGCAACGACACTGTACTGTACTGTACTTGTACTGTACTGTAGTAGAATCTAGACTAATCTGCTATATATCTATATCTATATATATATATAGATCTTGAGTCTAGGCCTACAGGCACAGGCAACAGTACTCCAGTAAAACTGGGACTAAAAGTATAAAAAGTATTTTGGTATCAAAGTTGTTGTAAGGAATGTGCCCGATCTGCGGCTTACCGGCATAGCGGTTCCAACCACAACAAGCCTTTGGGAGCGGCTTGCCGGAGATAAGAAGTTAAGATGAGGAAGGATGTCAGTGAAGTAATTTTTTACCCATCAAATCTAAGGAAACAAAACATGAAGAAGCAGAGTTTCTAGATCTAGATCTAGATCTAAAGAATATGTCATTTCCTTGTGCTGTTTGCCACTAATTTTATTTTCTATTGCTGCTTTAAATTACACTCTCTACCTCTACCATAAGTACACGAGGTAGAAAGTTGAGAAAGCGGTCGAAGCCATGCTTGTCTATCCCTGGCCACTTCCGTTAAGTTTTCAAGTATCCTTCCCCCCCTTTCCGGTTCACATAAACGGGGCCTCGTTTGTAGCGCCCAAGGCAACCGATGGCTGATGATGTCACTGAGTGGAAATTTCCCAGCCGCAGGTCGTTCATCCAGTTCGCGCAAATAGCAATGCCGCTTTTTCCCTTAGTTACTCCCACATTTTTAAAGATTACGTGAAAACCGCTAAACACAGAAGCTTGAAATTTTAAGGGAATAAAGAAAAGTGGTGTACAATGTATCAGTCAGTTTGACAAATCACAGCTCCGAAAAATCTTCAGTAGCAATGACCACGAAAAACCTTTTTTTGCCAGAAAGTGTTTGCAATGGGGCATTTTGTAGCTTTATCTTCACAGAGCACAGGGATGGTGATTTTTTGGATTTTTAAAATAAAAATTTAAAAAATCGATTTTTAAAATTTAAATCAGATTTTTTAAATTTAAATCAGATTTTTTAAAAAAAATTTAAAATGTCGACACAGTTTGGGATTTTTGGAGGCTAAAGTAAGTTCTTTTAGTGCAAAATGCATTGTCTTTATTTTAACTAATGATTAATTTAAGCAACTGCAATAGACCTCTTCACGGTAATGTCCGCCATACTGTCCAGGGGTACTCAGGGTTACTTCCGGTCTGCAATGCTCCTTTGTTTACATTGTCAACAGCCTTGGGCAGTTGGCACATGGACGCTAAATCGGCGCCTAAATTCAATCTAACGTCTAGATCTAGTCAAACGTACGCACAATCTCATTTTAGTATCAGTTGTTATGCATGAGAAACGCAAAAACTGCCTTGAAAGTGTGTTGTTTGCCTTTGAAAGTGTGTTTTGTCAGCTGCCCTCTTTGCCTCACGCAGGCCAAGATCTACTAATCATGTGACTGTACTGTGTGTTTTTATAGTGTAATTTTGTGAAATGGAATTGGCATTCGTTATTATTTTTTTAGACTAACAGTGAGGAAATCATTGTTTTGTGGAATCTACATTTCTGGTAATTTAATAGATCTAGATCTAGCGATATACCATCATGTAGGACTAATCTTTCTTAGTTCTATAGATTTTTCTTTCATTGAATTTTAGATTTTAAACTAGATATAGATCTAGATTCTAGAAACATTAGTCTAGTAGCAAGATGGGGAAGTACGACCATTGTTGTGTTGGTTCATGCAGTAACACAAGAAGTAGACCCCAATTGATTAAAAAGAGATCCCATGTGACTGAAATGCAATGGTTTGGAGTTTCAAACGAGGAGAAAAGGAAATTATGGGAGAGGCAGATACAGAAAGGACGAGCAGACTTCAAAATGACAATTACAATGAAAGTGTGCTCTAATCACTTCACAGAAGGGCGTCCCACACCATCAAACCGGATGTAAACAGAGATGCACGGGTGTAACCCTCAATACCCCTGAGCAAGATGGCGCACCTTACCGTGAAATTATCTATTTTAGAAAGCCTTAATCTGCTATTATATCAGTGAGTTATGGCTGCAAACAAAAAATGAAGAAAATGTCAGTCTAAAAGGAAGGGGGGGGGGGGTAATTATGCATAGATAAACTTGCATTTTATTACAGTGTGTGTGTGTGTGTGTGCGCGCGCTTGTGTTTGTCTAAAAAGAAAAAGAAAATGCTAATTTCACTTATGAAAAAAAAAGTAAATTGAATACAGTATTATTTTATTACTTACAGTGACAGGGGGGAAAGCAGACTTTTAAGCATGATTATTTTAGTCTACTAAACCTTAAGTCTGTTTTATAAAACCAAGGAAAGGAATTCTGAATGTTTAAAGATGTAAAAACAGAATACATTTTTTAAAAGTGATTTAAATCACTGAGTTCTATTTTTAAAATCAAGTTGATTTCAATAATTAAAAAAATCAACTGATTTAAATCAACCTGATTTAAATCAACCCAACCCTGGTTTTCAATTATGAAAAAAAAAGTACATTGAGAAGCTCTGTATTATTTTACAGTGACTGGGGGGAAAGAAGACTTTTAAGCATGATTATATTAGTCTACTAAACCTTATATCGTTTAATAAAACCAAGGAAAGGAATTCTGAATGTTTAAATATGTAAAAACTGAATACATTTTTTTGAAAAGTGATTTAAAATCAATGATTTTTATTTTAAAAATCAAGTTGATTAAAATATAAAAAAATCAACTGATTTAAATCAACCCAGCTCTGATTTCAATTATGGAAAAAAATGTAAATTGAATACTGTATTATTTTACAGTGAAAGTGGGGAAAGCAGACTTTTAAGCATGATTATATTAGTCTACTAAACCTTATATCTGTTTTATGAAACCAAGGAAAGGAATTCTGAATGTTGAAATGCATGTGTAAAAACTGAATAAAAATACATTTAAAAAAAAGTGATTTAAATCACTGATTTTTATTTTAAAAATCAAGTTGATTTAAATTTAAAAAATCAACTGATTTAAATCAACCCAACCCTGACAGAGCATGGAACTTTTTGAATTTTTGAAATCCATCAATAACCAAAAAGGGTACAGATTTTTTAATCAATTAATTTCTGGTACACTTTTATATAATGAAAAAACCCCAAAATATGGGACGTTCTTTGGTGAGTTTTGAGACAATATTCATCATAACTCACTCATTTCTTGGAGTATTTAGTAGAAACTCTTGGCAACCCAGTACATTTTCTAGTGCAGAATCTAGACACCTGCTTTCAGATTTTTCATAGCTATCCTATTTTTTTAGTTATGAAGACGTAGGTAAAAATGTGGCGGTTTTCGGTGCGTTTTGAGACAATATTTGTCATAGGTCGCCTATTTCTTGGAATATGTAAATGAAACTTGGCAGTCTAGTACATTTTTTAATGCAGAATCTAGTCATGCAGTCAGATTTTTAATATCTGTCATACTTTTTGAGTTGTAAAGACATTAACAGGTAAAAAAGTGGCGTTCTTTTCAGATTTACAAAGATTATCAGTCATATGTTCTCCCAAAGTCATGATATTTGAATGAAACTTGGCAACATAAAAGGTTCCTCCTTGCCAAGCAATGCTCTGGATTAATTTGTCACAAAAATGTAAGTAGAGAGCTGGATTTATTAGTCTAATAAATCCAGTTCTGTACTAGTAAAAGCATGCATACTTTGTTATAGAAATTAAGATCGTCTCTGTGTATATTCCATTGTTGGACAGTGTCCTATTGTGTGGTAGATTGAGATGCGTTCAGATAGTTTACAAGTCATGGGAATATTTCTCATGTGTAGGCTACAACTCATACAATAAATGTAACATATTTACCCCCCCCCTCTCTCTTTCTCTCTCTCTCTCTCTCTCTCTCTCTCTCTCTCTCTCTCTCTCTCTCTCTCTCTCTCTCTCTCTCTCTCTCTCTCTCTCTCTCTCTCTCTCTCTTACACGCGCACGCACTCACGCACGCACGCATGAACGATAACAATGTTTAAACGGGACTATCTTCCCAGACTGGACTAAATAAGTACCATACTCTTTAATAACAATCTTAATGCCTCACTTTTCCAAACAGAGCACACAAGACGAGTCCAAGTGTGTGCTTTCCCAAGAGGGGGGAATAGGCTTTCATAATGCAAACACAATGCCATACCACTTCTCAAGATGTTTGCTTTTCTGTTTCTATTCTTCTGTCATGCAATCAAGCAAATAAAAATGACTACATCTATTGTATTGTGACTAAAATGCAACAAAAACGCAAGTTATCAAGGCCCCCCGTTTAGTTTTCAAGTATCCTCCCCCCCCCCCCTTTCCGGTTCACATAAACGGGGCCTCGTTTATAGCGCCCAAGGCAACCGATGGCTGATGACGTCACTCAGTGGAAATTTCCCAGCCGCAGGTCGTTCATCCAGTTCGCGCAAATAGCAATGCCACTTTTTCCCTTAGTTACTCTCACATTTTTAAAGATTACGCGAAAACCGCTAAACACAGAAGCTTGAAATTTTAAGGGAATAAAGAAAAATGGTGTACAACGTATCAGTCAGTTTGACAAATCACAGCTCCGAAAAATCTTCAAAGCGCACCACATCAACCACTTTCGCAAACGTTTTCGACTGCTTCTAGGATGGGTACAATGTTGTCAAACTGCATACTACGAGATTGACCTCTTTTCTAATTGGCTGCCAAGTTTCATTCATATCCATTCATGAGAAGCGGCGTGAGAGCGAGTTGAAGACAACAACCTTTGCGTTAGTGCGTCCCACGAAACACCCCCGCTGCGGGGGCCAAAAATCGGCAGAACAAAACGCGCTCGGTGGGCATTGCTACTTAACATATATCCAGACCTTGGCTGGTTGTTTCATCCCTGATTGTACTTTCGAATACTTTTGTAGCAGTTGGTCTACCTTTTCTTCTTTTTCCATGTGGTCTCCATTACCATATTTGATAGGGCATTGTCTCTGGTATTCTTAAAATAGGTCCCATTTTTATTATTTGATAGATGTCATCAATGCAGTCTGCAGTTTTGGAGATGCAGCCGCCAAGATACTTTCTATTACACAATCGCCCAACTAGCAACATACACCTTCATCAGAGGACATAGAGTCATAGAGTGAGGACTGGAACAATGCAAACTCTTTACTTCTGTTTGCCCAATTGTCTTCTGGATGCTGCCAGGACTAAAACTAAGAGACTTGTGAACATCTGCTATTTTTTCATGATTTACTGATAATCAGTTCGACAAAATTTTATCTTTTTCCCCAGTTGGAATCATCCATCACATCTTAAAGAGTTTTAAAATCTGCTGTTTCTCGTTGCGTTCGTGAACCTGTCTCCAGAATGGGTCGTTACCGCAGAAAAAAGATGCACAAGGGAGACAAACCGTTGAAGGAGAAGTACAGAACCAAGCGCAGGACAAGAGATTTGGATCAGATTCATGACGACATGAAGAGTCCAGACAAAATGGTCAATCAGCCAGTAGATCTGGACAAGCCTGGAGCAGGGCAGTTTTACTGTTTGCATTGCGCGTAAGTGGTCTGATTTATTGTTCTCCTGTCTGATCTGTTACCTAATATGGTGGGTGTCCATGTTGTAATGATAAGGCTGTTTACCATCACCTGCAGAAGACATGGGTAGGATTCCCATGAAGGTATGTCTTTTCTATCGAGAATCTTCCTGTCTGCTTGGGCGTTATTATTTTATATATATATATATTATATCCTTCTTGGTCTAGGTTGGCCCTGACAGGGAGGATTAAAGTTGCCTGTCTTTCTCTTAAATGATCTCTGGATCGATAACAACAACTCTCTTAAATGATCTAAATTTACTTTATTTGCATTTTGTATATATATACATGTATAAAGACCAACTTCGTTTGGTTATTCCCATTGCTTGAATAGCTTGTTAGTCCGTTGAAACTGAAAACGTACATTATTTGTGCCTTTAATCAACATATTTCAGTAAAACCCACCCAGAAATGTGTTCTCAATTGGACAACAGTGGTGTTAAACCCCCCCCCCCCCCCCCCCCCCCCCCAAAAGGGAAAAAAAATGACACTTTCTTCAATTTCATTATTCTGATGAGGGCCTGATCCCCCCCAATAGACCCACCTCTATGTGGTGGGGGGGGGGGGGGGGAGATTAGTACTCTTCGAACAGGAAAAGAAAAAGAGGAAGCTAACGGGTCATGGGGTGACCCTGAAAAGAGACACATATTACTTTATTATATATCTTACTCTTCCTATTGTTTTTATTGTTTTATTTTATTTCATTTTATTATTATTATTATTATTATCACTTTTCTTTTTTCCACTCTCCATCAACAACCTGTCTTTGACCTGAAGTTGGGACGGGTATTGGTCGGGTGGGAAGCAGAGGTTTATTGTCAGCACTGTACTGCTGGATGTGACTTTGCATGGGGAATACCCAGCTACATACATGTATTAAGCATACATTTATTGGAGAGCCCCATGACTGCAGAGACCGTTTGCGTCTTGCCTGCTGACAACATTAGCGCTCTGGGACCGGCCCTGCCTTCCCCGGTCCCTCTTATGTGGTTGAGAGGACCTGGTTGCTCTTGGAGGGGAGAAGAAAGCCCAAAGTCTTATCTCTGTCCATTTTGTTTTATTTATTTATTTTTTTTTTTTCACACTTCTCATTCTTTGGAGTCTCATTTCGTATCCATGACCGACAAGAGAATGAGTGAGAACTGGTTAATGGGGGGTACAGTGGCATATTGTTAATGCCGTACCGGGTATACTCAGCTACACTTACATGTATTAAGCCTGCATTTATCGGAGAGCCCTATGACTGCGGAGAAGGTGCAGAGATCATTTGCGTCTTGCTTGTTGACAGCATTAACCCCCTGGGACCTGCCCTGCCTTCCCCTGCCCCCAACTCTGGGGATGAGAGGACTTGGTTGCTCTGGGAGGGGGAAGGAAAACCCTACTTTCAATTGTTATTATTATATTACTATTATTACAGTGGAGTCCACTTATATCAAGTCCTGAAACAACGAGAAGTCTGTTATTAAGACACTATTCTAAAACCCTGTTTTTTTCCCTTCTTTATATTTGTAAATAAAATACTGCTATAGCGCAATCGGACAAACACGGGAGTCGGTTATAGCGGAATATTGCTGCTGCTGTGCACAGCGCACAGGCCAGTTATACATATAAACCTCGCCAGTTGAGAAACTTGTTGGTGAAACCTAGGACCTTACATCAACTCCCTGAGCGAAACAAAAAATAGGAGAGCCCACGTTTGCCAACAAAGAAGGCCGGAGCGAATGAGTGGGGAGGGTGTGGTAAGCGCAGACAAGCAGAACGCATCGTGTGATAGGCCAGCCTAGTCTAGATTATCTAGGCCTACCACTACCCATGCCCTCACTTCTCTGATGCGGGGATGGAGAGGTCACAATGCTGTGATGGATGGAGTGAATGTGTAGTAACGTGCGCAAGCAGATGAAACACACAACGGGGTGCGGTGGGGTGGGGGACAACACAGTTCTTTCTGATCGCCAACGCCGTGCTGTCAACATCGCTTGAGAAAGAAACCCAATTCAATTTTTGATCAAGTAAGACCTGGAGGTCATGTTGAACAATGTCATCATCAGGGTAGATAACAAAAAGAAATAAACAGAACACCAAACTGATAGATTAGGCCTTCTTTATTATTTCCATTTAATTTATTACTGGATTCTTTATAACGAGAATCCTGGTATAACGGACATTTCTCACCGGTCCCATACGCCTCGTTATAACAGGATTCCACTATATTATTATAATATTTTTTTTTCTTTTTTGATTGGACTAATGGACAGAGGTGTTTCGGCAACACACAGCAGCTATGCTCTTAATTTAACGTCTTTCTTTTCTTTATATCTTCAAACAACTTTTCAATATAATACAACATTCACCAACATACTTGCGATCTCTGTGATGGAGCTGGGTTTTTGTTTGTGGCATTGCACCTACAGCCATTGCTTTATCTCCTACCCCGGGATGGAAGGAAAATCACAGAACCACTAGTTTAAGATGCTATTCACAAATGACAATCCCGTACGAGCTGAGACGCCACCTCGGTAATCAAGGTCTCCCCCAGGTCTTAGTACTGTGGGCAACCAAGCTGGCCTGGTGGATGGTTATTGGAAGAAAAAGAAAATCAGAAAACAGAGAAAATGGAAAAACAAGAAGAAAACACCCCCTACAACTGGTAGTGGAAAAGAGAAGCTTATAGACTTCACAATATTCTTCAAGCAAATGTCTGTGGCTTGGAAAAGAAAAAAACATAAATGGGAAAAATTTTGCATGAAAGAAAAATCCTCATTGCTCTATTACAGGAAACTCTCCATTCACATGGCTGGTATACCACTTATCCATGCAAATGGATTATAACCAATATCGTAATTGACATCCAGGGTGAAGTAGAGCTCCTTAACCCTATCTGTACGTCGTGTTTTACTATCGTATCCATATGATGTGGGGAACTCTGTGCCACCACTTTCCAAAGAGGAAATTTACTTGTTAATCCAATCCATTTGCTTTGCATAGCAGTCTGTCAAAATGGTTTTTTGAGAAATACTGAAAGTTTCAACGAGATCTTGCACTAAAGTATTCTTAAAATGTGAAGAAATCAACCCCGGGGTACAAAATAACCCCAAGGCGTACGGATACGGTTAATTGGCACCCCATACGCACATAAAGTCACCTTGTGGTATGGCAAAAGCAAGCTCATACTTTACAACATCTATTGTCCCCCCAGTAGCACTTTGAACTTCATGGAACAGATTACTATCTTTAAGAAGACGGTGAAAGCTGGTGACCCTAATGGACACCCCCCCCCCCTTCAAAGGCTATGCTGACCATAACAGCGCATGTACCTTAGGAACCTATTGCCGTTTATGGAAGATGAAAATAAATTGCAAAAAAACTGTCTATTCTGTTTTTACAAGAAACTATAAACTTGCAAATGCTGAAATCCCTCTCAAAATAGATGGTACCAACTTGAAAAAAGAGAATAACCCAGTGTATCTTGGAGTGCAACTTGAAACAGCACACCAACAACCTTAGAAAGAAGGCTATGAAGAGACTTAATCTCATCAAACAACTAGCCAGTACCAACTGGGGACCATACAAGAACACCTTGAGAGGCCTCTATTTTGGCTAGAGCTGTTTTTTTAATTATAATCTTTTTCTACCAAACATTTGCAGTAAAACTACCTGGACATCAATGATTTATTTATAGAGGCACCAGCCATCCATGTCCAGGTGCTGTTTTAGCTAACAGTAAAACTACAAAGAACTCAATGGACACCATCCAAAACCAAGCTCATCGTCTTATCTCTGGCGGAATGAGACCCTCACCGACAGCGGCCTGTGAAATCCACACAAATATTGAGCCATTAGAAACTCGAAGAAAACGGGCAGCTTTAGAAGTATATGAAAGATCTAAAAGGCTAGAAAATAACCCCCCAAATAGAATTCTTGTTGACAAGTGGAAACCCAATCAAAGACTAAAGAATACAAAATCTGTACTTGACACTGTCCTCAGTCTCCAAGAAAACCTCTGGAAAGAATCCCCTCAACTCTCCCACCACATTTCACCATAGCAAAGCCAGAAATTAGGAAAACTCTTTTGGACAAGAGCAGTAAAAACACATATCCTGTGGCACTAAAATATTCTTCACTTGAAACAAGTGATTCCTATCCACCAACATGGATCCACTCATACACTGATGGATCTGCCTTTAAGGCAACAATTAATGCTGGATATGGGTCAGTGATCAACTTGCCCAATGGGATAAAAAAGGAAGTCTTTAATTCCAGTGGGTCCTTCTGCTCCAATTTCATTGCCAAACAACAGGCTATCACCAACACAGCAAATTACATCAACTACTTGTTTGACACTAACCCACTTGCTACCACAGACATTGTTATCTTTACAGACAGCCTCTCAACACTAAAGACACTTGAAAGTGGGACTGATGTGAACAAAGATATATCACACTTGATTTGGAGCCTATGTAACTTGATAAGTAGGCACCATATCACAGTGGTCCTACAATGGATCGCTTCTCACACTGGGATACCGGGAAATGATGCTCTAGCAAAGAAAGGGGCTAGCCTCCCTCAGCCTAATATTCCTACTGATTACGCCACCTGCAAGGTCTCAAGGAAGGCTGGATGTGCACATGGGCCTCAGGTATGACAGGAAGGATGATTTATGGCCACATGAATAAACCACTGGTCAAAGATCCAATCAATGAGTTGAGTGGAGATCAGTCCATAATCTTCCAACTTAGAACACAACATGTGCTCCTCAATCAACATCTCTACCAAATTGGAGTAAAGCAGTTTGCTGCCTGCCCACTATGTGACTACCCCTCTGAGACAGTGGAATATCCTCTGTTCTTCTGTAGAAAACTAACCGATCTGAGGGGATGTTTTCTTCCCAAGCTACCCCACACATCTAACTGCCTCTACTCCTCTAGAAAATTAGAACAGACATGCAGCTATTTCAGAATGGCATCATGCAGAAGAGTTAACGCTCAGATGCTACTGGATCGCTAACAACAACAACTACATGAGAGCCTGATTTCACCACGCTGCCACACATATATATATATTATATCTATAATATAAATGAGCATGATGTGGTGGAATGCGGCGCTTCTCAAATTTTGGGCATGGGAAGTTGTTGGTTTCATCTTATACCTTGTAAAGCTTGTTCATTTGTCTTGCTTTCAATGGAAAAAAAAATACCAATCAATCTTGAATCGATACATTATTATTATTATGCACACTTTCTTTCTGTCCTGACAGCCAGAAACTATTTGTTTTCTCAAAGTTATGACTAAATGTTTGATCACTTGACTAAATAAATGAAAACAATGTAATAATAACATAATGGCCAATTTATTATTGAATGTGCTCCTTGCTTTTGTGAATAACTATATGGTTTCCGAATGTCTAAATGTCATTATTCTGTGCTTTAACAGTCACAGGTTTAGTAACACCTCTCCTTTAGCCGTATCCGTTTGCCCTGGGGTCATTTTGTACCCCCCCCCCGCGGGTTGTATTCTTCGCATTTTAGAATACTTCTAGTACGAAGATCTCTTTGAAACTTTCAGTATTTCTCAAAAAATCATTTTGACAGATTGCTATGCAATACGTACGGATCGGATTAACAAGTAAATTTCCTCTTTAGAAAGTGGTGGCACAGAGTTCCCCACGTTATATGGATACATAGTAAAACACGACGTACGGCTAGGGTTAGTACTCACTCAAAGTAAACCAACTGTGTAAATATAATTTATACAGATTGTTTGTTTTGTGTGTGTGTGGGGGGGGGGTTGTTCCTTGTTTCAATTTTGAGAGATTGAATTAGGCAGCTATAATTAGATGGGTTTTACCCCCGGGACAGTGCCACTGACTGTAGTGTCTTTTGGCCATTCCCAAAGGGGGGACATTTCTCGTTCAAGCACAGTAGAATTGTAAATGGGCTGATTCATGTCACGCTCATAACTGTGCCTGATCTACAACAGGGAACTGCTACGTTTTTTTCTTAATCCTTACTATGTCATGTTCTCTACTTCTTTTGTATGTTTGTCACTCTCTTGTGACCTGCTATTTCTGGGGTGCCTTGATAGTCGAAGCAGACCTTTTGTGCTGTTGAAGCTAGAGAGGTGAGCAGAATAAGTCTGATTCCCTGTAAAGACTTCTCTGTTGACACCCACCCCTTGGCGCTCATATGACCTTATGCAGTTGCGAGGGCCGTAAAACCCTCTACTATAAAAAAAAAAGATGGGTTTTATTCTTTAAGTTAATTTTTTAAATTACGTTTTGTATTATAAATAAATGATGTTTGTAGTTTTTTGTGGGCTCACAATATAACTTCACGATCATCCTCTCCATTTCAGGAAGCATTTTATTGATGAGAAAGCCCTGAAAGATCACTTCAAAAGTAAACCACATAAACGCAGGTATGCCTTTTTTGTGTCTTCTTATGGTTCTGTCCATGTCTTATGGGTTCATGAGCTTCTTACCTCTCTTGCTGGCAGTCTGTTTATACACAATGATTGTTAGGTTATTTTATTTATGGAGGACATAAAAAATATTTCATAAATATTTCATTTTTAAAAAATAATAAAAAAAAAAAAAATATATATATATATTATATATATAGATTATTAAATTTTAAGGATATCATTCATAGGCCAAGAATGTATTATTTCCAGATGTATATTATGTAGTCAACTTTCTATTGTGATGGCCTTTACCATTTATTTTATTTGAGTAACTTGATAAAAACAGCTTAATTTCATAAAAATAATTTGATGTCTTTATCATAATTTGGAGATCTGTTGTCATGATATGTGCTCCAGTACATGTGGTAGGCCATCATATAAGAGGAATGTAGTGGTGGTGGCTACAAACAAAAGTGTGTTCCGAATGGAGGACAGTGGTTCTTCTTTCCCTCCCTGTTGTCAAAATAAATTCCAGCTTGCATGTTCATGTTCTGATTATCTTGTCAGTTTGTTAGTGTTTGAGCGCTTAATCAGCTGCTTGCACTGTATGCTTCCCGGGAAGCTGAGTATGTTGTGGAATGTTCTATGGTCTGCTGGGGTAATAATATAGTGTAAAGCGCATAGAGCCTGCTAGCCTGCTGTTGAGCGGGGATATGCGCTATACAAATGCTATTTATTATTTATTATTATTATTATCCCCCCCCCCCTCCCCCCATTTTAACCCACAGACTCAAGGCCTTGGAGACAGAACCTTACACACAAGAAGAAGCGGATCGGGCTGCTGGGATGGGCTCATACATAGCGCCCCGTAAACTCGAGGTCCAGAAACAAGAGACAAATGATGACTCCGATGAAGAAGGAGATTTGTCCATGAAGCCTGCATAGCCTTTAATTAATGACTTGTTACTTTGGTTGATTTTATTTGTTTATTTTTATCCTTGAGCCACATACACCCGGAAAATTTGCTGCACTCCGGCATTTGGCGGGGTTTTCTTTCATGTCTCATTGTGCTGTTTCCTAAGTTTCCAGAGGTAATACTTGCAGTCGTACAGAGGAGACAAGTTGATACTGCAGTGGAAAGACTCATTGAATTCGGAGGTCTTTAGAATAACAGTTTTTTTAAAGAATTGTTATTATATTGTCCAGAGGTCATGTGTGAAGAGGTTGCATTTGTTTTTCTGGCAGTCTAGAGTCAAAGTCTTATATTTAAATTGGTAGTAATTTGTGTTTCCATTGCTCTGTCTGGTAGTGGTAGTGCTATAGGGCTAGTTGGGTTGCCCAGCATGTCACCACCGTTGGGTCGGGATGGTTTAAGGAGAGGCTTAAGGGCCACTGTGGCCTGATGCTTCACTGTGCAGGAAAGCAAGTCTGTTTTTTTTCTTTCTTTCTTTTGAAGTGTAATTGAAAGTGGTGTCGTACTTATTGTGTTGGTAGACCACCCTTTCAACACTGTAAGGTTTTTTATTAAGGGGGGGGGGGGGCAGCAGCTGAAGATTATCTTGCTTATTAGTGGATCAAATGTTATCGAATTTCACACATATAACAAGCATAGTAAGGGGTAGTAAAATCTGCATTCAAATTTGAGGAAAACAATTTTGTTTCCATGGATATGGTGGCCATATTGGATTTTTGCGACTTTTCTAATTATTCTTAATTCTGTGAAAATTTCATGAAGATTGAAGAAAAAATGGTGGAGTTATTAAAAAAATTATATCGATCAAAACCACGTTTGGAGAAAACGAGCGATAAAGAAAAATAAAATATGGACTTTATGAGGAAATGATGGTGACGAACACGCCTGGTATGGAAAAAAAATAAGGCTATAGGGGGTTCATTGTGATGAAATAGTTGTAAGAGAGTCTGAAGAAGCTAAAAATGCCTACAACTTAAAATCCATAGTTGTGAGCCAAATCGTTACTTTTGAAGTGCCCCTTTTTTTTCAGGGTTTCTGAATTCAATATCCTCCTCTGCTAAGTAGGTGCAGGGACTCTTCACACAACTTAAGTTTATGAACACCCCATTGGGGATTTAAGTTAGGGTCATCCACACCATCACTCTGTGTGGTATCAATGAGGCTAATGGCATGCGCTGTGAAGGATGGTTGGTATTTGTGTTGGTAATGTGTCTGTGAAGGATGGTTGGTACTTGTGTGTGGGTGTGTGAACTTGGTTTAGTGTAATTTTCACTTTCTGTAGTGTTTAACTTGTAGCCTACTATGTTGGTTTTGAAGTCAGTTTAGTGTATTAACTGTTTTTGTCTGAGCTTTGAGTTCACTAGGTTGACTTCTGGTCTGGTTTCTTAGAAAACTTGCAACATATGTTAATTGTACAAGTTATTTTCGTTTGAATACTCTATTACGGTCAAACCTCGTTGCACCCATATCTTTGGGATGAGCATGAAGTTGCTGGAACAGCGGAGCTGGCAGTTCAACAGGGTTCTCTGTTGTATAGCCCCAACTGCCGGCAAGGAACATAATTCTGTTGTGTGATTTGTGTTTCAAAAGTGTCTTTTCGTTGGTGATATACATGTGTTCAGTGCTGAGTCTTCTCTCTCTCTCTCTATCTGTCTTTCTCGTGGGAGACAGATAGTCACATCGCCAACTAGTGGGTGTCGAGCGCCTTGTGCAGTGTGTACCTTTGGCGGTCAGTTTGTTGGCGGTATGGTGGGGCAAATTTACATTGGTTAAAATAAGGACTGTACATCTCAGTTTGTGGATGGTGGTGTGAAGGTGTAAAAATACTGTAAAGGCTCTCCTTTTCATACATAGGCAAAATCTGGTGGTATAACAGTGTCCTTTTCTTACCTAGGCAAAATCTGGTGGTATTACAGTGGAAGAGAGGCAGTAAAGCGAGGTTTGACTGTGCTTTTAATGTAGCAAAGTCATGAGAAAAAATTTAAATAATACCAGTTTAGTGATAGCCAATCCTGAGCATAAGTTTTTCTTGCCATGTTATCACTTGTAGATTAGCTTGAAAAATTATGTACCTTCAAATTGGAATTTGTCCCTGATAGAAGCGATAGGATGAGGAGAAAACGAAAATTTTATAACTCCTTAGAAAGAACCCAGCCTTTGAGATTTAGCTTAGCTGGGATGACATGGCCACAGCACAGTGTCAAAGAATGAGAATTGGAAAAATGGCTCATCTGCCGTTCACAGTGTCTGTTATACGCTTTGCGTGATATGAGATATGGACAGTGGAGTTCAAGTTCAACTTGAGTACTTCAATGTAGAACTGGGGTCCTTGGAAGACGGGGTGCTCCATGCTTTTTCGCCAAAGTTCAACTGCTCTTTGGAAGTCGTTTCTGTTTGTATTGGGATGTGTTATTAGTCAGTCTTCTGTTGTTGTGGTGGACCCACTGGGATATCCACTTTCTTTTCTGGTCATCAAATTTTTATAGAAACTGGGTTCAATGGAGGTTATGGCTATGACACTCAGCCCTTCGTCTTTAGCCTTGACTTCGAGAAAGTACTCGGTCGTTTCTTGTTTCAGTGTTGCATGTTTTCTGTCTGAGCAGTGAAAATACAGAGGAGACTCTTCTTTTCATCTCTCTGTTTTGTAATGTTAAATGCTACCTTGTCATGTTATTGTGAGTAGCATGTAAAATAAATACCGGTAAACAAAAAGGCAAACACACATTTGATTTTGTTGTTGTTTTTTTGTTTTATTTTTCTTATTTTCCAACAGCGACAAATGAATATACATGAACTAACCAATGTGGTACACTGATAACACAAGTGTCGCTTGTCGGATATGTGACCTTGTACCTGAATGTGGTGACCCTTGACCTTTGGTCCCCATTTCCTTGTACTGGGATGGTTGAAAGTACTACACTACCCTCTACAAGTCACAGTATTATGACTACACATGCAATGCCTCCCCTCTCAGATACCACATTGTTCCACAACTTACAGATTTGTGTTACCAAAAACTCTCTAAGGAAAACAAAAAGATCACAACATGTATTTCAAATGTCGAAGTTTAAGGATTTTTTTTTTTACAATCCCCGCCTCTAATTTCTTTGAGTTTATAACGTCCTAAATAAATCCTGGTTCTCCCAATGGTTGTAACTTTCTCTCTACATTCTGTTGGACAAATCATAAGGCCTGAATCATTTTTTGATTAGCAAATACCCATGTTGTTCAACAAAACTGACAATAAAATGCAAATTTACATATATAGCTCTACTTATTTCATATAGTCTTTCTGAAAATGTGATCAATGTGTTCTTTACTTTTGGTTGAGGTTATTATTTATAAGTAGGCCTACCTGTAAAATTGTGTTTTTTGAGATTATCATTTTTCAAAGTGAATTTGCTATGAATGTATTATTAATTTAACATGTAAACTATCAAAATTTAGAAAAGGAAGGAAGATGCTATGTCAGTCAAAGCATCAGGTTTTTTTTTTACATCTTTTTCTGTCTTCCCATTTGAGGTTAAGTTATTGTCTAAATGCTGATTAGTTCCTTAATATTCACACCGTTGCTCTCCATATTATGTTGTATCCAAGGGAAAACAGTACATGTTCACACACACCCTCAGAAAGAACGTATTCGTTTAAATGAAAAACAGAAAATTATTTCTGCTTGCCATTTCCACAACCAGTTTATTTTTTTCTCTTAATTTTTAGGAGCAGGGCTCCGTTTTTCCATCACATTTATGATATCCAATTCTACAAAAATGTTTATCTACAGTAACAAAAGATTGAACGAATAAGAGATGACCTTGTAAGTCTTAATAAGATTAAATACTAACGCAAAAAAAAAGAGGCAGAAACTGATGAGCTTTTTCACACAACCTTATGTTTGTGTGTGTTGTAGTAGTTGTATGTAATGTATTGCACAAAGACAGGAAAGTTTGATATCATACTTCCATAGTGGTAGGACCCAAAATGGCCGGTCTGCCTAATAATATGTATTTAAAACTAAACTCATACTCCTAGACTAAAGACATCTTTTTTTCTTACAGGTTTGCCAAAAACAAAAATGCTTTCACAGTGTTGAAGATATACTACGTATATATACTGCTAGAAGTGCTAGTCTCTACATGTCATGTTATTACAGCAGATTATGACTATACGCACATTCAAGGCCATGACAGCTCCGAAAGAGTGGAAGAAACCTCTGCACAGCCCCTTTCCTCTCCTGATCAAAGAAACAAACACAGCTCTCCTTTCTACTGCCAAAGCATGGCTTTCCTCTCTACTGTAATACATGTACTACTTTCAGTCTTTCACAGGATGACAAGTAGTCAAGTAGATCAGGGAAAAAATAATAATTGGAAAATGCCCATTATAACTTCACCCGAGCCCTTTTCTGTGATAAATGCTTTTTTATTATCTTAAGATGTAAAAACTCTTTCTCTGTTAGGACAGCAGTATGTATACCATTTTTTAACTATAGAGAGACAACTGTGCTCCTTGCTCAAGTATCTAGTACATACGAGTACTTACAAGCTGTCTCCCAGATCAGTCTCTTCTTGTTCTAGTGTTTTAAATTTAGCATTGCAATAAACTAACTGTATTTCAAACTCTATCTTTAGGTTTTTCCTGTCAACACCTACAAAAATGGATTTTATCTTTTCTATGACTCAGAACATATTTGTAATGGTAATATGTAGCACATTAGTCCTGTATGCCATCCCTAGCCACAGACTTTGCTGTGTGGTAAAGGCCGGTCTATTTGGTCTACTATACTATCACAAGGAGTTTATCACACCTTGCATTCTTCTCTCACAGAGCAGTCTATGGGATAGCGATGACAATACTTTGAAGAAAAACATTCCTATCCATAATATAGGTATAGAGAAAGACAGAGAGTGTCCCTACAGACTGCTAAAATGTTTGGAATGCTCTTGTTGTTGGGTTTTATTTCTTTTTCTTCTCCATGAAAATATGTCAATGAAGAGAATACGAAAAATCAAAATATTCACAAATATTATCACAAGTTTTCACATGACCAAAACAATGTCCAGAGAGAAATAGTTTGATGGAGTTATGATCATATGTACATTAGATGGTGAAATGAGATACCCTCGGTGAGGAAAATTAGTGGAAAGGTGGAAGTTACAAACCAAAAATAAATGAAATAATAAAATAAACATCACCAAGTGTCATCATTAGCTATTCATAAGCTTGTCTGTTCCTCTGTCTGAGACTCGTTTCAGAGTTCAAAAGTTGGAGCTGTGGGAGCCATAGAGAAGAGCTCTGGCATGGGTTTATGAACATCTGTCAAATGTTTGCGTCCACCAATATATAGATTATAGTACTCGCGTACACAGCGACACAGTTCAAGCAAAGAAAAAGCAGTTTGATAAAATCAAAGAGGAGAAAAGAAATCAATTCTAAAAATAAAAACAACACCATGTGGATGTCATCTTCTTCCACACTTGTAGGCAATTATAATCTACCTGACTGAATTACATTGATGAATGGATTCAAACTAAAAGCTGTACCAAATTATGACAATAAAAGTGCCCCTTACAATGAAGGGGTGGGAAATGATTAAGGGTAACAAAAAAATCCACTTGTCTATAAATAATTCTGTTGTGTAATTAATGATGACGTTGTGATCCGAACACAAAACCAATGAAGATGGGAGCTGGTGCTAGACAATGATACATGGCTATGGTAAACGGGTAACCAAAGAGTTGGTGTAAGACAGTTTCAGGTGATGGAACAAAACAATGGAATAAGTAGAAGACTTTAATCAAAGGTAGTAGTAAGTAATACGTGTATACCACACCATGGTTTCAAATGGCTTTCCACATGATTGAGTGTTTCACGGACAATCACGTTCACACACTTACAAAGAATGTTGAGGGGTATTCGTGTACAACAGATTATGGACCAAATTCTCAAAGTTTGGTCTGTCGGGCTTCCGGCCAGCAAATAATGTCCACCTGCATGTGCAGTGGCCTGATTCTCAATTGAATGATTCTCAAGTACTGGAGTTTGACATGAACTTCCATAATATGAAGTTTCTAAAAACAATATTTTAACATCTCACTCACTAAGTACACGACTACATGTACACAATTGAATACATGTAAATAAAAGTATTAAATCGATGCCAAAATATTTAAATAAAAGAAAGAACAATTTTAGTTCTTCTCTATTTCAATAGCTTAAAGCCAACTTCTACAAAAATGTAGTTCAAATACACCCAACAATATTTGAACACTTGAAGTATAAGGTACGCTTGAATTGTTGATAACAGGCTGACATTTAGCTGTGAAATAGGTGATAATGTAGAAATATTTCACGTATGTTCCAGAAGTAAGTAGCTGTGTAATTAAGTCCAAAAGGCGCAGTGTAAGTCTGGCTTTGATAACACAATATATATATTTTTTTAAAAACCTTGTTTTTCTCTTTTGCCAGTAAAAACCATTGGTCTCAGCCTTGATGAATGAAGAAAATATATGAGAGAAAATATTAATCAATGTTAGTGTTAGTCAAGATGGTGGTGGCTCAAGTTATCTAGGAGTGGAAATGAAAAAAAGAAAAGCATTCTTGGAAATTGGAGAGTTGTTCTGCATCATTTCAACTCAAATTTAAATCGAGATGTTTTCTTTGCGTCATCTTTCAACTGGAAAGACTAATATTGTAATAACTAACAGTTTTCTGCTCTGGACGTTGAAAACAATGTCTTTTTTTAAAAAAGAGACTACAAAGTTTGTACTTTCGATTACCAGCGACGGAAGTTTTTTTTTTCTTCTTGTCTTGGTTTTAGTTCTTCTCTGGCACCTCCTGCAAGGTATGCCATTGGGCAATTGGTCGACGTGGGTTGGCCAGCATGTCACTCCAATGACGCAGCTCAGTGCCCGATGAGTTACAGCCCAGGACACAGCGGCCGATGGGCTCGGAGGTTCCGATACGGTCGTAGTCCACCACTGTGATGATCAGCGTGACTTTCTGTGTATGCAAATGGGAAGGAAAAAAAGTTTATGGAAAATTCTGGAGAAGAATAACAACAGCTTTTGTAGTAATTAGATCATAAGTTAATAACAGAAGATTCAAAGTTTCCACTTTCTTGTGAGATGTTTCACATTTTATTTCAGTCATTTAAGTATGGAGAATTTATGAGCAACTAAAGAGATATGTTTCGCCAAAGGCAGCAACAAAGCTGTCAATTTTGTGAGTTAAAAAACCAATTCTTAACTCTAATGAAATTTAAATTTGTTTATAGAGTAAGTACAGCTGAAACAGCTTAATAAATTTGAGTGGTCATCATTCAAAATGCTTCATCGAAATAAAGAATGGGACAGAATAATCTTTCTACCATTGTTCTTGTGGGTGGCTGCTCATTATCATTCATCCCACTGCTTTTGTATCAGTTCAATAAAGATTTCACCAATTCAAAAAGGTGCTGTGATTAATGTCATCAGTTCACAGTACCATGCTACAAAAACATGTACTTTTTGAAAATCAAGCGAATACCAGCTCCATTACTGCTTCTTTTGCATCAAGGCTGTAAGATTCAGTAGCCTCAGAGTTTTAAGTATAAATTATAACAATATCACAGACATGAATGCATGCAACGAGGAGCAGCTACCATTGTCGAGAGCTTTTTTCCAAACTGCTACATACGTTTACAAAAGAGTTACGTGCTTTCACATGTATTGCAAATGTTGTTATCTGAATAAGGATCGTCTGAGCTGACAGCCTAGTCTTCTGCTGTAGCACATGTACATGGTTCTTATCTAGTCAGATTCTACTTAACTGTGTCTCTCCCTTACCACTACATGCTGTGAAGATTCTTTGATTGGCAATGGATGGCAAGTTAGCAAAACAAAGATTCTGTCACCAAGAAATGCATACACAAGCATTTATGCTGAACACATGAATCATAGTGAACTGACCAAGCTTTTTACTTTTATTTTTCAAACTGACAGAAAAGTCTGTCATGAGCTCATTGATTAAAAATGATCTTGTCTCTACGCGAATGCCCTACAAAAAATATGCAGCCATGCATTCTGATATTTCTCCTCCAAAAAGAGAGAAAAAGCAATGCTCCCTTTGATCTATACAGATAATGATATGTATATATACTTTGTACAAGGTATAATAACATGTGGTCAATTTAAATCATTTGAGATTTTTAAAAATGACATATATTGTACTTGAGGTTGAAACATGCTCACCGATATTATACTTAAAGAAAGAGTGAAATAAAAGAATTCACAACGAAAATAAGGTGCAAGCAAAAAGAGGTTTAAAAACGGTTGGATATGGAAACATGCTAAATAGTAATACTTTCAAAGCATTTAGAATAACGCGCGCCATGCAAGTTAAGCCACTGATAAAACAGTGTCTGAGGAAAGCAAAAAGCCAAGCATAGGATGTCTTTTATACAGAGTTAATTTACAAAGGGAAAAGAAATCATTTGGTTCTATTCATCATGTAATGAAAAAACCCAACCATTGAAAGAGTCAAGAAGAAAAAGAAAGAGAAAAAGTTTAGACAAGAACAAGTAAAATCATACATGATGAGAAGCATCAGTTCTGTAATGGAAAGCTGTGCAGCATTATTCATAGTGGTTAGAAACCAAAAGCTTCTCTGTCAAATTTACAAATGATAACATTTTAGAGGGAAAGCATGCCCACATTTACGAATAAGTCTTACGTGCACTTTTGTGAATGATCAACAGAAATAATTTTCCTGCATGATAAACTTGATAATGTGTTGATCATACTTGTAATTTTTGTTTTTTTATATTTTTAAACTTATATTCTTTTTAAAGTAAAAAATTCAAGACATGATAAGCAACACTTTTTAAGACATGACTGGGACAAAGGAAAAGGACAGAAACCAAATGGATGAACAAGAAATGAGCATGATGGTCACCTCTTCCTCTTTTTCTACTGAAACCAAGTCCAGATTCTAAACCTATCATCAACTTCTGCCCTGTTATCAATTTTATACACGTCTGGTCATGTTATAAAAACTGTAGGTTCCTGTTAAGTTAGTATCCTTCATTCTAGAGACATATTATTATATGTGCCTATGTTTTTGTGAATTGAAAGACAAAAGAAATCCAACTCAACCGTCCAAAAATATCAACTCCCAGGCCACATCAGAGTGTGATGGAGCCCTCTTAACTTAAAACAAGTCTGAAATATTTAATGAAAGAATTCTGTAACACAAATGTTATGAATATTTGCCTGCCTTCTTGATGAGGCAAATAGGTACATTTGTGTATGTACACAGCTTGAGCACAAGTGCAAGGAAGTATGGAAAGCTTGAAACGTCTGTCTTCACGAAATTGAGGTCCGAGTTAGCGGAGAAGTTATGTTAATATCTTCAGTCTTGGGAGATTAGCAGGGGACTACAAAAGAATATGCCTTTGACATTTTGTGAAAAAAGAAATATGCAAAGTAAAAGTTAATGCTTGAAATTACAGCTGGCGGGGGAGGTATTGCTTTTTTGTCCACTACACATTTATTAGTACTTAATTAAAGTAGAGCATATGTATGTCGACAACTAAGGGTGTAGGCTGAATCCTTTATCGCCTGTGTTCCAGTGAGCTATGATTTACATGCATTCCAACATATCTAAAACCTCGGCCATCTGTAATCTGGTGAACTATGATTTAATCCAACATCAGAATATATTCTCCTGTCTCTCTTAATATATATATATAAAAATATATATATATATTTTTAAAAAAAAAATATATATATATCATGTATACAGTACACACAACAGAGTGGTGATAACAAAAATGGGAATACAGGAGTGTGCAAGTGTTTTCCACACTTACAGAACTTTTGTGATGTGAATACACTTTGTTATCAACCAAAAGGTACTGGCCTCTATGCATACAGTGCAAACAAAATACACAAAATATCAAAGGCAGTTCTATGATATATATGTATATGTAAGTATATAGATATATATATATATAATATATAGTACAGTTGGTACGTCAAAAGAACAACTGTAGAGCTACACGTCACCTGCTCTGGCTACAACAACCAGATATTCTTCGTAAGTATATACAAATATATAGCCCAACATTGCTAGAGACAGTACCTGAATTTGTTCGAATGGAACTTCAAATGTAAAAGATTCATTATAGTAGGGGTTCAGGGTACATTTCTTGATAGTGGTCTTCTTCTTTTTCACTCGTTTTCCATTGAGCATCAGGGAGATTTTTACATAGGGATCTGCTCAGAATGGGAGGACAAAAAAAGAAAACAAAAGGCATGAAAGGTCAAAATAACCAAACCAGTGGAGAAATAAACTTTGCAAAATGAACAAAAACCTTTTTTAAAAAAAAGGAAAACACAACTGACCGGTGATATAACAAACAAAATGTCCCCCAAATGAGGCAAAAACAAAAATATGGAAATGAGATTTGAGTATATGGAGAAGCCGAATCTTGTCAGTGATGGTGATGTCTCTCAAGTGCTGAAATGAAGAAGTTTGTCAGTCATTCTGGAGCCAATGAGTGAAGTAAGAACAAAGAAAACACAGATATTGCCAAAACAACCCCACAAGCACACAAACTTAAACAAAACACATCACCAGGAGAAGTGGGCAAAAAGAGAAAACAAATATCAAAACGTAGCATAAGTCAGTGCGCTGTGAAAGTATAATATAACGCATACTGCGGAGAGAAGCAGCTTTATTGGTGTTTGTGTAGAAAGTAGAAAGGGGGAAAAACAACCCAATAAAATCCAATGACAGTACAGAAATTAGTTTTTAATTTAATGCTCAAGGCAACGGAAGTCAATGCACGGAGGCAGTATAGAGCAGTGGAGAACTTGATGCAAAGAGACACAAGTCTAGCTGTAAGATCAAGTTCAATTGTGTGGTGAGGAAGCTGGAGCAAAAAACTTAACAGAAGCATGCGTTGTGAGCTTTATGCCTCATGGGGCATTGCTTCTTGAAAAATTTAGAAATATAAATACCTAATACACAAAGTAGAAGAATAAATTAAAATAATTACAGTTTTTCTAAAGGATGCAGAGAATAAAATTGACTTAACATGCTTGAAAAGATGTTAAGAACTTATCCTTCATCTTCTTTAAAAAGATTATCTACAACAATAACTACAATGAACGATGCAATGTTCAGTTAATTATCTGCTCTCATGATTTCATCAAAAGTATGGCAAGAGTGATGGTCGTAACAGATTCTGTTCACTCAACATATAATTGCTCAGTACCACACAAAGTGTTTCAGTGCCTACTTTTAAGACAATTAGAGCAGCTGTAATGATACAATAGGTACAAAAAGTTGACGGATTGAATGACATAGAATTTAAGCCTTCTAACACAGAATTGTTTGGGAAATACATCTCTCCTTCCTTAAAAAAAGCAGAGAGAGGTATTTAGCATTTTCTTCCTTGATAACATATAGTCATCAGTAGTTTTTGTATTTTCTCTTATTATCCCTTTCTTAAATGAAGCAATACATCGTTGGTAACCTTTGGTAACCTTGTTTGAAAAATATAATTTGTACGTCAGTAAAAAGTATCCCAAGTTTTTAGAAGATAAATCGTTTTTGTATAGGGATTATGCTCTCATTTTAGAAACTATCTTACATGGTAAGGCCGCAAAAATGTGAATAGGATTGGAGCAAATATAGGGATTAAGTTTTAAAACAATGACTGAACATTTACTAGGAAGAACCAACGAAAAAAACTTCAATTTGCGGACAGAGCATGGGCTGAGCCAGTCTGAGGGCATAACAAAGAGGGAAAAAAGAACATGACAAGAAGGTAAGAAAATATTCAAAGGCACAAAAAATTGGAAAAAAAAGAAATGGTGACTAAAACCACTCCAATACCAAAAGCCATGGACAATCTTCAAAGAATAAGGAAAAATGCAGGAGTAAAAAGGTAAAAGTTCCACAAATGAAAATGCGGTGCCAAACCAGAGTGGAAAAAAATTCCCTCCCTGAATTGATCATATCACCTGGATCTGCTCAAAGGGAACCTCAAAGCCAAATGACTCGTTGAAATAGGGATTGAGGGTGTTTTTCTTAATGGTTGTTTTCTTCTTCTTCAGACGTTTAGTACCCTGCAGGAGTGCGATTTTCACATACGGATCTGCAAAGTTTAGTCACAATGTGCAGAGATGAGCAAACGGTACATCAATAGTTCACTGACAGTAACATGGCAAGAGAACTGTCGAAAACAAACAAAACACTCCTCATTAGGGACTTCAGGAGTATGTGTACCTCATGGCATGACATGAGAGTAAAGGAAAAGATCAGAATGAAAATGCCAAACATAGAGACTGGGGAGTTGAAGATGTGAGTGGAAACTGGGGCGTGGAGACGAAGAACAATGATAACATTACACAATGAAGTTCACATTGATAGAACTTGTCAGGCCAAATCTGTAACATCTGTTCCATCATGCTGCGTTCTGGAAGGAAGATCTTCATGCGTGGAGATCACCACATTCTTGCAGCTACAAACACAATCTCACAACAGTAGGACAAAGCATCAACAAGAAGTATAAATGAAAACCAAAACAAAACATCCTGTATAGTTTGTGTGAAGTTTCAAGTATTATGGTACACAGTTTGTTTATGATAATTTTTTATTTAGAGCAAAATTTTCAAGCATCATGAAGTTGTCAAACAAGTACTAAATAATTACTCATTTCCACATAACTGTCTCAAATCACTAAAGAGGCTATTACAGCAGTAGAACATTATAATCAGCCGTAAAGCTTACAATAGATACTGCATTGGATACCTACTGGTACAAAACTTATTTATCTTCGTTTGAGATAAAGCCCCTAGCCCTACTTCATAATGCAGTTCATGAAAATGTTGGAGCATTTGCTTCCCCTGTTACTGTTAGCATGCCAAGCTGAACAGGGAAAGAACATTCTATCCAACTCGGATTAAAGCCCGATGTTCCCACAGTTCAGTCTACTTCATAACTAACTGCTCCAAAGCAACAGCCTTTGAAACAGCCACTTGGTCACTAGTAGTAGACATACAGAGTTATGGCATTCTAAATTTCATATTCTCAGTTTATATTAAAAAAAGAGACACCCCCCCCCCCCCCCCCCCCCCCCCCCCGATCATCGCCAGCTCTAAAACGAAAACGATTACAAAGTAAGTTCATGGAGTTTATTTTACTGATATTTCTTACTATATTACAAAAGGATGTGGAAGATGTAATGAAGAGATGCCAACAAAGAACAAACAAATATTACCTGAAAAAAAAGAAAAAAGAAGTCATGATTATGAAGAACTTAGATGCAAATGCAATATGGTGTCGATCCACAAGTTTCCGCCACATTTCTGACATCTTTCACTTCATTAAACCCTTTAACCTTTCAAATTAGTATAAGTCAGAACATTTTTAAAAGCTCTAACATCAAATCTGTGCAGATATTTTCTTTTCTAAGCCTGATGAAAGCAGAAGAAAAGTAGTTTTCTTTAGGTTATCAGTTTTTAATGATAGCTCATGACCATTGATATCACAAGACACAGGCAATCTCTATTTGTCGTCAGTATCTATATAAAACGGAAGGTGTTTCCAGTTTTCTAAATCATCTCTGTTAGTATACCTGTGGAAAAAAAGACTCCCAATTTAATCAGAGAATGGAATTACTTAATTTGAAGGCCTGTCTATACAAAGATCACCCCCCCCCCCCCTTCCCCCCGGAACTCACACCCTTAACTCTCTCTCTTTGTTTCTTTCCAACTTACAACATTCTGAGAAGTCTATGACAAGAGTGGTCCCTGATCTTGGGTTTCCTTCCCTTGTTCCCCTGTTCTCCTGCATTATTTTCCCCTCCATTTCCTCAATTTTTCAAGAAGCCATTCACAACAATCACTGTGTCTTGGCACCTAAGTACAACTCAAAGTAAAATCAAAATCCTTTACTTTTATCTCATCCTCTTTAAGTTCAAAACACAATAGTCATGTGCAGTTCCTTCATATAATTATGAGTTCCTATTGTATGGCAACTGTCATGCCAGCGAGGACAAAGCACATTTTTAGGTCGTCTCCGTAAAACAGACAAAGAGTTGTAGGTTTGATTCTCAGCTTAGATAGTCTGATATATTATACTGTAGAATGTCCTTTACTCTCTTGTTTTCCCCAAGTATGATTGAAAATTCTTGACTTTGGAATGGGTTATGACAAAATATTTCATTGACAACTCTATGCATGTGACAAGCTACAACATTGTGCGTCCCCATCACCCCAAAAAAACAACAACAACTCAACCCTTGCTTTAAAAATCACTGGAAGCTATTTTGAAAACTAATTAGCCTTCTATTGTATTTTAACTATTCAAATATTCCGCAAATGTTAAGCTGTTGATCATACCTGACAGGCCACCCACATCCATCTTCTTCAGGTTCTTTGCCTCCAGGATGACCACAGTGAGTTTGCCGGCAGTGGGCACATAGCGGAGGGAGAAACAGATGTCTCCCAACTTGTTCTCCTAAAAACGTAAAAAACCCACAAGTTAAAAAAAAAAAAATGTATTCCTACATACATACACACACATACATGCACACACACACGTACACACACACACAATCACGCAAACACATGATATACATGTATAAAATAACTCCTATTAAATAGAAATGGTAATTTTAATATTTCAAAAACAAATTCAATGGAACAATAATTTTCAAAGGATGAATTTGAAACATCTAAAAATATGCCTCCAATAAGAGTGTTTAACATTGTTATGTCAACAAAACATAAAGTGTGTTCGCAGTCTTCATAGCTAACTGCTATTTCTATCTCAGTTTTTATAGCTGGACAGGCCATTGGTTCTTAAGTTCTCTACCTTCTCAGACTCTGTGTCTGGAGACTGCAGATCCTTCCAGTCTTCCACAACGCGGCCGAGGTCGATGGAGTTGAGGGGAACTTGTACCTGGCCAATCTGGTCGTGTTTGGAGAAGCGGTCAAAGTCATACACAGCAAACGTCAGAATCTTGGATCCAACCTCAGCGTAGGGAACCTGTGAATGTTCAAGGGGAAATACATCCGAGGTTACAATCAAGGTAAGCTTCATAGCCTTGGGCAGCTAGGCAAACATTTTTTTAAAAAATGGAGTCTCGTGTATGCACATAATTCAAATTTTACAACAATAGGGCCTACCTTTTAAAAAAATTGTTCTTTATTTTAAAAAAGATTAACAATTTTCTTGACAGAGAAACCATTCTCTATTCAAACAAAAAGAGTAGAAACATAGCATTATTTTGAGAGTGTACTGGTTTGCTTTAAATACTATAATATTACATCAGACTTTCTTAGAGTGTACCAGTTTGCTCTACATAATAATATTATCACATCAGACAGACGTACTTTGAATGTGAAGCTCTCATTGAAGACCGGGTTGAGAGTTTTCCTGTGCACTTTCGTCTCATACTTTTTCTTCTTGTCCGGCAGTAGGTAGACCTTGACGTACGGGTCGCTGGTCCCTGACATGTCCATGCCTGGCAAGTCTGCTGCCTGGATCACGTTCACAGACAACTGGGGAGAGAAAGGGGATAACATTAATGCAAAAATTAATCTAAAGTAGTCAAGAGTATGGTGTTATTCCGTAAAAAAAATTCCATCAACATACGTTGCTGGCAAAGATTGAAATTCAGGCCATTCATTCCTTTTCTAAAGGTGACTTTAGCAAAGCTCCCCTTCACCCCCCAAAGCCACCCCTCTTTAAAGTGTGAGCAGACTAAAGAGACAGTTTAGGCAAAAATCATTAAGATCCATAAATAGAAGAAAATAACAACGTAGGTAGACGTAAGCAAATACCGCTGGCGATATTCTTTCTATATGATTGCGGCAGAAAATAATCTGAGGCGGGTCTTTTCGTCTGCGACATAATTCTCCTTTCAACAATACTATTCTGTTCCTGGTGCCGAATGTTTCAGTTTTGTATGGAGACATCGTCAAAAGAGGCTGACAAAACAATACCAACAACCTCTGTTAGCTTTCAGCCTCTCAATAAGCGTAGTTACAGCCCTTCGTCCAAGTCCCCTCATCTCTCCATTTCACATAATTCCTTCGACAATCTTGACGTCAACATGGCGGCTCACAACGTTACTAATGATGCCGTTCGTGATTCACTCCACCAAATAAGCTTTCCTTGTTTGCGTCTCCTTCGTCTAAAAGTAGACTTACAGACGTAATTCTTGACTTGCCCAAATGAACGCTGACAAACACAACAGTTTTGAATACGGCAAACGGATGGGTCAATAGAAAGTTCTAGGGTCCTTGTCACGATTCTGTCTGTCTCCTCGTTTCCTCGAGCCCCTTCACGTCTCTCTCTCTCTCTCTCTCTCTCTCTCTCTCTCTCTCTCTCTCTCTCTCTCTCTCTCTCTCTCTCGCTATACATTATAGATAGATAGATAGATTTCTCCCTCTCCCGCTCTCCTTCCAAAACTTATCAAATGTATGCTATTTTCTGAAAACAATGAAAAAAATAACAACCCTGGAGAGCATGTGAGCCTACAGCAGTGTAGAATTTTATTAAATTCTCGACGTAAACAATCGTGTTTTCACTTCCCCACTCCAAGCTCACTTCAAAAATAGACCCAAAACAACCCATTTAGAGATCTAAAACACACGAAGACCGTTAATGAGGCTAATATGAGTGATGACGTCAGAGCCTGAGCTATCGGATATCAGAGAGAGAGAAGGAGAGATGGATAGATGAGAGATAGGGAGAAAGATGAAGAGGGGGGAGGGAGCAGGAGAGAGAGAGAGAGAGAGAGAGAGAGAGAGGGGGGGGGGGACAGAGATATATACGTGTAGGCCTATATCATAGAAAAAGGAAGCATGCAGGAGGAGGCAATCAATCCTCTGAGATAAGTGGTGAGTGCCTCAACTTGAGGCCTTAATCCATCGATCTCATACAACAACATCAACAGCCACAGATCGATCCTCAGGTTCGTTGTCCGTGTATCCCCTACTGCCTGCCCGACTCTCGCCCTGTCCGCCTAAATCTTTGTTTTTCGGCCTCTTAGAATGCTTCCTTGTTTGGTTTGTCTTTCCTTGGATCTCTCTGTCCGGGGTTTGTGTGTTTTCGTGTGTGTGTGTGTGTGTGTGTGTGTGTGTGTGTGTGTGTGTGTGTGTGTGTATTTGTGTCGTGTCTATAATTTTGTTTGTTTGTCTTTGTGTTTTTGTGCGCTCCCACAAGAGTGTACGTGCGTGTGCGCGGGCGGGCGGGTGTGTATGTGTGTGTTTTTGCGGGCTCCCACAAGAGTGTACGTGGGTGTGTGCGCGCGCGGGTGTGAATGTGTGTGTTTTTGCGCGTCCCTTAGCGAATCTATATACCTATCTATCGGTATCAAACTGTTCAACTAGAGAACAGAAAAACAGACAGACATAGCAGCAGAAAAAAAAGGTTCAACTTGCATCAAATTTCTCTTTTCTCCGACTGTAGTTTCAAGAGCCATCTGTCTACACAATCCAGTCTTAGCCCACTTTCTCCAGTAACTTTATTTTCTCCATCTCCATCATTATTTCGCCCTCTCTTTTTCCCGCCTGCCCCTCATCCTCCTCTCCCCTTCCTCCACCTCCCTCCCCCTCCTCCTCTCTCCTCCTCCCGACAGTCAGCGCGTGTTGACACACTAAACCACAAGGTGGGGAGAAAATCGATGTGAATCGATCGATAGGACGAAGTAGTCCCGCCCCTTTCAGCTCAAACAACTGTATATGGTTGGTTGTTGCACGTGAGAGTTTTCAAAGCTCGCGAAGAATGAAAATAATCTTGGGCAAAAACATTACTGCAACTTCAGGGCAGGCGACCGAAGAAAAGGGATAACGTATCCGTCTACGTGGAATAGATTGTAGTTGTCTTATTAGGTCGAGACCATAATAATTATTACAATTCAGTCGGGAAACGGGGCTGGTTGGAGGGTGCAACTGGTTTGAGCTACTTATTTTCTTCCATCTGTTGTTTCTGCCTATCTTGCGTCTGTCTGATCATCATCATCATCATCATCATCATCATCATCATCATCATCATCATCATCATCCTCATCATCATCATCATCATCATCAATGCCTTTCACCCCTGGCAGGGTATAGGCCACATACAAGCTCCTTCCATTTATCTCTGTCCTGAGCCATCCTTCCAAGCTCGTTCCAAGTGAGCTTCATTTCTCTCATGTCCCTTTCCACGCATCTCCTCCATGTTTCCCGTGGCCTACCCCTGCCTCGTGCTCCTTGTGGGTTCCACTGCAGTGACTGTCTTGTGATGTTTCCGCTGGGCTTTCTTAAGGTGTGTCCCATCCATCGCCACTTTCTTAGTCCTATTTCTACTTCTATATCCTTTTGTCCTGTCCTTTCCCACAGCTCTTCATTTCTTATTCCATCCTGCCACTTAATTCTTAGGATACTCCTCATACATCTGTAGATGAAAGTCTGGACTTTATTCAGTACTGTCTTTTGTTGACTTCCAAGTTTCGCGGCGGTAGAGGAGCACAGACTTGACGTTGTAGTTAAAGAGTCGAATCTTGGTGCGCAGCGAGATGTTGCTTGCTTTCCAGACTTTTGATAATTGCTTGAAGGCTGACCTTGCCTTGGCGGTTCTTGCTTTAACGTCTGCCTCGGTTCCACCTTTACCATCGATGACACTTCCAAGGTAGGTAAAGGAGTCCACTTTTTCCAGGGGAGTGTCTTCCACTGTCACAGCAGGGCTTGAAACTTTTCCTAGCTTCACTACTTTTGACTTGCCTGGATGTATACGTAGGCCAACACTCCTTGATAGCTTGTTGAGTTCCTTGGTCTTTTCTTGCATCTGAGCATGTGTGTGAGAGAGCAGCGCAAGGTCATCGGCGAAGTCTAAGTCGTCCAGCTGCTGCCAAGGGATCCATTGTATTCCATTACGTTTGCCTCTGGTGGCTTCTTTCATGACCCAGTCAATTGCCAGTATGAAGAGGAAAGGTGAGAGCAAGCATCCTTGTCGCACTCCTGTCTGTACCTGGAATGGTTCTGAGAGTTGTCCTTCGTGGAAGACTTGGCAGTTTGTTCCATCATAGGTGGCCTTCATAAGCTTGACTATTTTCTCAGGTATTCCAAAATGCTGCTTGAGTTTCCACAGGGTTTCCCTGTTCACGCTGTCAAACGCCTTTTCATAGTCAATGAAGTTGACCACGAGTGGAAAGTTCCATTCAAGCGATTGCTCAACAATGATACGCAGAGTAGCGATCTGGTCCACACATGATCGGTTTTTGTGAAATCCTGCCTGGTTTCCTCGAAGCTTCTCGTCTGTTGCCAGCTTGATTCTCTCCAGGAGTATCCTGTTGAAGACTTTCCCAGGTATGGACAGGAGTGTAATGCCTCTGTAGTTGTTACAATTGCTGAGATCTCCTTTCTTTGGCAGCTTGATTAGGTGGCCTTCCTTCCAGTCTGATGGTATTTCCTCCTTTTGCCAAATCTTTTCAAACAGAGCATAGAGAATTTCCACAAACCTATCTTTCTCTGCCTTACGGGCTTCTGGTGGTATATGGTCGGGACCAGCTGCCTTGTGGGACTTCAGTGTTTTTATAGCGGCTGCAGTTTCCTCTCTTGAAGGTGGTTCCGTGACTATTGGGAGGTCATTTCTGGCTGGAAGAATTTCTGGTTGGTTTTCTGGAGGTGGTCTGTTCAATAGTTGATCAAAGTGTTCTCTCCATCGGTTAAGTTGCCCGTCTGGGTTGAAGATAGTGCGTCTGTCTGATAGCTTTCATATAAAGTCGGCGTGCTTCCCCTTTCTGGAAACCAAAGTAGCTAAACATAATGTGATAAGAAAGTCGTGCCCTGGCATTTAGCACGGGCAGTAAAAGCCACTATTTTAGGTCCACTTTTAGCTATTGCAACTATAGGTTATATAAGGCAGGAAGAAAGAGATTAAACAATAACGAAGAGATGAAATATTTATCGAACGTTCAACGTAACGTGTCCAACAACGCACGAGGAGGGAAAGGGCGAGAAACTGTTACCCCATAGACCTAGGCTGTGGGAATGTTGTTAATAAATTAAATATTGATTAGTCTGGAAAGTACTTCGATGTGACGGATGTGATATATAGTTGTGTCTAAGCGATAGGATGAGATCTAAACGAAGTCTATGTAATCTCTTAGTCTGTCTATCGGTCTGTCTGTCTATCGGTCTGTCTGTCTGTCTGTCTGTCTGTCTGTCTGTCTGTCTGTCTGTCTGTCTGTCTGTCTCTCTCTCTCTCTCTCTCTCTCTCTCTCCATTACCCTTTCTTTCCCCCCACTATCTTTCATACTCGCTTTCTCATATTTACCCCCTTCCTCACTCTCTCAATCTACCCCCTCCATTTTCTCTCTTTCACCATCCCCTTTCTCTCTCTCCCTCCCTCCCTCCCTCTGTCCCTTCTCCCACACACTCCCCCCCCCTCTCTCTCCCTCCCTCCCTTACATTCTCTCTCTCACACACATATTATACTCTCTCATTCTTACTCGCCTTCTCAAATTCTCTACTACCTCTGCGTCATCGTCGTATCAACATTCCCCCACTACTAATACTGCTCTCTTCTACCACCCACAAATAGCACCATTTCAATCTCCTGCCACATTTCGTCTTCTTATGGGCCGGTGCTTCAGTCGTCTCACCCAGGCTCAACAACCTCTCAACCCGAAGCAGTACTTTTTGCTTCTGTGTATAAACGTCTCCTTTCTCGCCTTTTTTTTGGTTGTACATGCTGTTGTAATTGTTGCTGTTGTTGCTACTTCTGCTGCTGTTGCTGTCGTCGTCGTTATTGTTGTTGCTGTTGATGTGGTTGCTCTTCCCCTTCTTCTTCTTCTTCTTCTTCTTCTTCTTCTTCTTCTTCTTCTTCTTCTTCTTCTTCTTCTTCTTCTTCTTCT